AGATAACATTGGCTAACGGTCCTTTTTTGCATAAAACACAGGGACTAAATTGGCCAACGTAATAAAACACAAGGACCTTTTTTGCATTTAAGCCTATTATTATTTATTTTATTAAAAAATACACTTGTCAGCATATTATTCGTCGATTCTAAAGAACAAAATTTCTGAAGTTGTGAAAATTCAGCAATAAATGGACAATAATTTTATATTTATAGGTGATAGTTGTACAAATATTGGGGGGTGGTATTTTTAGTTAAGATTATAAAATTGGGGTATATACCGCTATTTCCCAACATTTTCAAGGGTTTCAAAAAAAATTTCGATCCGCCTCTTGCTTTCCTGTTTCTTCTTCGTTCTTCCTCTCTCAGTCTCTAGCCTCTGAGCCTCTCACTCTCTCAGACTCTCTCCAGATTTCACACGAATCACGATCTCAACCACTATCACTCTCTCTCTCTCTCTCACCCGCTCTCTCTAAGTGACTCAGTCTCTCTCTCAATCGCTCTCGCTCGCCTCTGCCTCTCTCGCTCTCTCTGTCTCTCGCTCAGCCACTATCGCTCTCTTTCACCCGCTCTCTCTTAGTCATCAAAGGTCTCCCTCTCTCGATTTTTGTTGGTCTGAGGTAATAATATTTTGAAACCCTATTTCAAAATTTAAGGATTTTTGTTGATTTTTGTTAATTCTATTTATATATTCTGACTTTGCATATATATTTTTTTCTGGACAGAATTGATTTGAAGGCAAAGTTTTTCCAGATTGGCTTGCTGGCTGTGTTTATTTCTGGTATGGAATTGTTGCAGATATTGAGTAATAATTTAATTTGTATGATTGGTTGTTGTTTTGGTTGCTGTTTGAATAAGAGCTGCATTACCGTTGAAAATTGTTGTTGGTTTATACTTGTATTTGTTGCTGTTTTGTACTTTTATTTTTGTTGTTGTTTCAGTTGCTATAAGAATCATGAATTATGAGCATATAAGAATCAACTTTTTCCAGGCTTAACTTTTGAACCCGTTGAAAATTGTTGTTGGTTTATACTTGTATTTGTTGCTGTTTTGTACTTTTATTTTTGTTGTTGTTTCAGTTGCTATAAGAATCATGAATTATGAGCATATAAGAATCAACTTTTTCCAGGCTTAACTTTTGAACCCGTTGAAAATTGTTGTTGGTTTATACTTGTATTTGTTGCTGTTTTGTACTTTTATTTTTGTTGTTGTTTCAGTTGCTATAAGAATCATGAATTATGAGCATATAAGAATCAACTTTTTCCAGGCTTAACTTTTGAACCCGTTGAAAATTGTTGTTGGTTTATACTTGTATTTGTTGCTGTTTTGTACTTTTATTTTTGTTGTTGTTTCAGTTGCTATAAGAATCATGAATTATGAGCATATAAGAACCTTGAGGAAACAAAAAGGTTGTTCTATTTCTAGCTTTCCCAGATTCTATTTTGCTTCTTCTTTTCCATGAAAAAATAGCTGCAGCCAGCCCTTCAAGTTTGTCTGCAACAAGAATCTATAGTCATGTGGAGGGTATGCATTAATGAACTGAATTAATTACTAATTAACTGGTTGAAAACCGAGGATTAGCATGTGAACAAATGGGGGATGAAAATGGATTAATTAATTACTAATTAACTGGCTGAAACCCTGTTTCAACTATTAATATGTTTACTAATTGTTTTTTCTTATGTTTACTATCAAATCCTTTTTATGTTTATATAATTTTTTTCTGCGCAGAATTGATTTGAAGGCAAATTTTTTTTCAAATTGGCTTGCTGGCTGTGCATATACAAGTGGGGGATGAAAATGGATTAATTAATTACTAATTAACTGGCTGAAACCCTGTTTCAACTATTAATATGTTTACTAACTGTTTTTTCTTATGTTTACTATCAAATCCTTTTTATGTTTATATAATTTTTTTCTGCACAGAATTGATTTGAAGGCAAATTTTTTTCAGATTGGCTTGCTGGCTGTGCATATTTTCTGGTATGGAATTGTTGCTGTTTTATTTGCTATTTTTGCTGTATATTTGTTATTTTTGGAAATAATTGCATAATTCAATAACGTGATTTGGCAGATATTGATTAATAATTTAATTTTTATGATTGGTTGTTGTTTCGGTTGTTATATTTATTTTTGATTGTTGTACCTCTGCATTTCATTTTCGTAGGGTATTATTAATTTCATGGAAGGAGAATCTGAAACCCCTGTTTCAACTAACCCACCACCACCACCACCACCACCACCACCACCCCCTCCACAATCAGCCCATCCACAATCAGCCCCTAGCACTTTAAGAAAAAGAAAGCCTTGTAAGAGTGCTTCTGGGGTTTGGGATCATTTCACAAAGATAAAGTGTGAGAATGATACTAGTGAGCCTAGATGCATATGCAAGTACTGTAAAAAGGACTATGCATGTGATGGTAAAAGGAATGGCACATTCACTTTGTGGCACCATTTGAGAAGTCAATGTAAGAATTCTCCATTGAGACATGAGAAAAAACAAAAAGTCCTTTCATTTGAGGGCCAAGAGAAAGGGGGTAACCTAGTAGCACATGCATTTAGTAAAGAGAGATGTAGAATTGCATGTGTCAAGATGATTATTCGGGATGAGCTTCCATTTAGTCATGTGGAGGGTATTGGGTTTCGTGAATTTTTGAAGGAGGCACAACCTAGATTTGATTTGCCATCTCGTAGGACAATTGCTAGAGATGTGTGGGATCTCTATCAAGAGGAGAAAGCTAAAATCAAAAGTGTCTTAACACATAATGCACAAAGAGTGTCTCTTACCACCGAAACTTGAACGTCCATTCAAAATATCAATTACATGGTTCTCACGGCCCACTTCATTGATGATGATTGGGTGTTGCATAAGAGAATCCTTAA